ATGACGATGATGACCAAATCAATAGGGCAAGAAGCTTCACCGTGAAACCCGAAACCTACCGTCAACATTCCTCGTGTTCACCACGCTCTGCTGATGAACACATACCAAGCGACACCTCGAATACGAAGCACAATAATGCGGCCTCCTGGCTAAACGATGAACCTGTTTTCAGCTTGCAGAGAAGAGGCTCTGAGAAACGGCATCGTGCAATCAACGGGGCTTTATCTAAAAATCAGGACCTATCTCGCAATCAGCGAAAGGGGCATTGAGGGTGTACTTTGCTCTTCCATCATTCAATACGCATTGATTTTTGCAGTGTTTTTTTCTTCCTAACGGATTCACGTTTGAAACTATTGGGGTCTTCCAAACCTCGCGCGAAGGACAGCCCGTGCCCACGTGTCGGCTTAGCCGGCGATTGTGGTTTAGGCTTCGATGGGAAAAAGTGCCCCGTGAGCTGCGGTGAAACACAGGGGACGCACTTCAACAAGTAACCCGCACAGCGGAGAGTTCACGTGCGCGTTTTTTTTCTTTTTGAAACGTCGATATCCATTGGGTGCGACTCGGTAAGGGGCAATCTCTGCATTAGAGTATCAGGCGCTTTTCACGAACCCAAAACCAGACAGCAGGGTCTGTGCGCTGCGCTCATTGACACCGAACCCGGAGGTTTTCTCGCCACCGATATGGAAAGAAAAAAACCCCACTCCCGGCATGAATGGGAAAAGCACTCTCACGCACGCGAGCCTGCACGTACACATTAATCAAGCCACCCCCCCCGCTCCTCCCCGGCATGTCAGGTCACCTTTGCCCCAGACCCCTCCAAAGCGGCCCCTTAAACTAAAGCCTCTCCCGGCCTCCGCAAAGCACTCTCACTAATCTCCTCGTCGCACGAATATACCCCGCGCGCCTCGTTTGCCAGCGCGGCTTTTGTCTCGTCCACCTGCTCGCCTCCCAAGAAACGCGTGGTGTCCATTCTGGTGGGGAGGGTTTAATTAAAACATTCTTGCCCAAGCTCAGATAACCCACTGCTTCCTCATCACGTCCCGGGCTCGCCGCGTGCTTCGCGTCTTTCAATCCCCGGCGCTCACGCCGCGATGTCCCCGCGCGCCGTGTGGATCTTCTTGCCGTGCTGGCCGTGTGCGCGTGTGTGTGTGTTTGTTTAGGTCTCCGATGGCGTGAATCCTGGGGGGTTGTTACCGCGTGTGGTTCGGCGCGATTTCTTATCTAACCCAATCTTCGTTCCACGTGCTGTGTGGAAGCCTCTTTCAACCACGTGAGAATGTGTCTACGTGAACAAGGAATATTTTGATGGGTTTTTTTTCCTGGATTTTCTGTTTGCACAGTCACATAGTCACTTTAAGATAATCTTAGCTCTTTCGGTAAAGTCACGTTGAAGGGAAACAATAAAATATATATAAAACAATTGTATTATTTTATTGTTTCCCTTCAACGTGACTTTACCGAAAGAGCTAAGAATATGAATTACTGCAGTCACGAAAGCTTTAAATCAAAATTTCACTTTAAGATGTTTTCTTGTTCATGTTTTTGTTTTTTTGTTGTTGCGGTTGCACCCGATTCAAGAGCCGAATGGCTCACAGGGCTATACCAAATAAATGGAACTATGAACTATGATGCTTGACTTAAAGCTTTCGTGACTGCAGGAAATCATATTCTTTTGGTCTTTCGGTAAAGTCACGTAGATATAAAAAAAAATCACGACGTTTCGATCGCAACGCAAGCAATCGTCATCAGGTGAAAAACACGCAAGCAATCGTGATCAGGTGAAACGTCGTGATATTTTTTTATAATCTTTTCTATCTACGTGGCTTTACCGAAAGACCCAAAAAATAAGGATGATGCTGTTGCTGCTGCTGAAGTAGTTCAATTACTCAAGAAGCTCCGGACAGAAACGTCGGACGTCAATGCTGAATGACACGCGGTATACCTCCAAAAACACACACACACACCGGAGTAAAACAGGACCACGGAAATCTACGCAAGTGCCCAACCGTGTTTGTAATGCGGCACCAGTCACAATGTATGCTCAGCGCCAGATCGGCCTCCCAAATGTCTTCTCCCTGACCACAGAAGACTAATTTATTTTATCACCGCTGGCATGGCATGTACAAACACAGTGCAATCACTTTGTGGACCTCACTCTCAACTATTTAACAAAACGCCGTTGGGTCTGCATACAATCTATTGTAAACAATTAAATGTCACTTACGGCAATAATTAAATCATTGCCAGACACCACCAATTATAATCACAGGCCAGTTTGTCAATTCCACTGCTGGATGAGGCCACTGCTGAATGTCGGTTATTGGAGGCTGTTTGGCCATACTTCACCACGCTGGTTAGCGCGGGTTGGTGAAAGTGGGCGGTGTGGGGGGAAGGGGGTAGGCGGGAGGTGCGTTAGAACGATTCGAATGACTCTCGGCACTGGCATTCGCCGTGGCCGGGATTCGAACCCGGAGCGGCGGGTTCACAGGTCAGTTCGCTCACAGCAACCCCACGGCCGCTTCACCCTTACGTGCATCACTGGCCACAAATTAAACCAAAACAAAGACAAGAATGCAATTAAAAGTCCGAGACGTTTCGAGGCAAAAAAAACCCACCCTCATTAACTCTGTCAGTTTGGTTAAGCAAACAAGAGCAAAGTGTTGTTGTTATTTAGGCTCGCGACGCGGATGTCTCCCCCCCTCCTCCCTGGGACTCGTGAGCGCGGAGACTGCCGCTATTGTCAGACACAGAGAAGCCGTCCCCCTCCATCTAGACCACGAAGGCGCCGTACGCACGCTGGACCCGCGGGAGTGTCAGCAGGATTTGCCCAGGTGGTCTTCAACAAAAGCCTCTCCAGAAGCCAAATTGGGTGTCTGCAATGTTAATCCGCCCACTGGCACGACGAACTCGGGGGGGGGGGGGGGGGGGGGGGGGGGAGCGTGTTGGTCGTGCGCGATGATCCTGCGCATCCGTTTGCGCCAGCCAGAGGCAGGGTGATTAAACCCGGCCCCCTTTGTGCCTGTGGGGCACGTAGCGACGCCGTAGTGACTTCCTTAACGCGAGAGTTCACGTCTTTAATTTATTATCCCTACGACTTACATCGCAGTTGCACTTGCCAATAAATATGAATTAACGTCCGTGCAATCGCGACACCACTAACCAAATTTTTCTTAAGAAATGCCCAAAATGGAATTTAGGTGGGTGGGGGGGGGCATCAATTTACTAACTTTTCAGTCGATAATTTCGCCGGTTTGCTATACACACGCATTGGAAATATTACTATTTATTGATGGCTTCTTGGAGGATGAGCTACATTTTTCAGGGGGGGGGGGGCAACCTTCACGTGCCCACCCCCCACCTCTGTTAAGCGCCCTCTCTTAATTGCCAACGATTACTGTGCACGAAACGCCACGGACGGACAGAACGTCATTCGGCAAGCTTCCCCATCACAATAGCAACCCTTTCAACAATTCCTATTCCACGTGACCGTTCAGAGGTGCCCAGGAGTCGACCGACTGCTCGTTGTTCCTACAAAGACATGAACCGTGCGGTTGGTATGCGCACGCCTCTAATCCAGCACTGTGGAGGCGACGATTGGTGGGTGTCAAGGTTGCCACGCCCCGGCTTGCCAAGTGAAGGCGGTCAAGCAAAATGTGGACTAATCTCCATCTGTTCCATCTGTATAGGATAGAGTGTTGTGCTCTTGCAACGCGTGGGTTTTTTTTTTAATCCAGGCGCTCCGGTTTCAAACCGCATGTAAACACTCCATTCATTGGCTGAAAACATCTTAACATATATATAGAGGGGCAGAGCTTGGACAATTGTTGGTAGCGATTGGCTGCCGCCTTCCTACTTAGTGGTTACCCCCCGCCACCCCACCTCCGCCCCCGCATCTGAGTCGTTCTCTCCCCAAGAGCGAGCGAATACTGAGCAGAGCATTACAAGTTCAAATCATTATCAGGAGTTGAAACTATACTTTGACCTCAAAAGGGTCGGGTTTAATAAATCTGGTCGCGACATTAGTCGGCACGATGTATTTTAGGTAAAAAGAAATATATTTTGACGTGTCTAGTCCATGGTTAAATGTGTGTAATCAAAAAGCATCCCATGTTGTACTCTACAAGTTACTGCCGTCAGTAATGAGCTGCACTTAAGGCTTTCTGCGTGCTTAAGTACAATGCAGCAAAGCCACAGTGAACAGACATAAATACAACATTATAAAGTGCTGCACACTTGTCTATCAGACCCCCCCCCCCCCCCCCCAGTTTTCTTTAATGGCAGGTAAGTATATGAGAGACTTTACAATGGGGAAAAGAAATGTTATTGGAGAGCCAGTGTTCTAGCCATGGGGGTTTTTCTCCCTCAATTGAATTAAATATTTAAACAGCCACGGAAAAGTTAATAACGTACGGAAGTGCACTAAATCACATTAACGAAAAAAATAAATCTCCGAACAGGTCTTTGACCGCGTCTGCCGATCAGATTATGAAACAAGGACGCTTCAATTGCTGAACCGCTGATATAATCGTAATTTGACTCAAAACATGGACATCTCTGAGACCTGTGTTACCCATATACTTGCGTGCTATTTAAATCCGAGTTGCCATGCAAGTACTGACCCTTAGTTTTACACCATACGGCCACTTGTCAGAGTTAGTGCCACTTCACACGTGGCGATGTCCCTTTAAATGTCCTTCACACCTCAAATGATCTCGGGAAAAGCAATCACAACGATGCACTTAAACTTACGAGTGAAAAAATGCCGAGACTCTGTATCCCCAAAAAATGAGAAACGACCGAAACTAAAATAATGATAAAAAAATAATGGCATAAATTTTAGTGTACCGATATATTATTTGTTTGTGCTGTGAAGTGTGTGCAAGACAGGTGTGTAATAGTTTATGCTTTTAACCATGGCAAGGATAAAACCAGTAAAAAATATATATTTCATGCGGAGTATATAAAGAAATGACAAACTGTAATACTGTACACCAATCTTATCCAATCGTAGAGTTAATTTAATGGTGCAAAGTGGGACTATATCACACACAGTGCTCAAATCAAACATTTGTACAAAACAATGTTGGTACTTTATTCAGTGCATAGACGATTCTCTTGACAAGCAGCGCACAAAACAGTTCGTGTGGTCTCCAACTTGAAGCAGTGAAGGCTTCCTGTGGCATCGTGGCAATGCATGCCGGGATTAGGATCGGCTTCCTTGGCAGGCATCACGTAATTACAGAAAATTTGCTACAACTATCTCACTTGTTACAATTCGTCTCTGACAGCAGACTTCCACCGCGACACACCAAACAAGGTCACCTTCCATGGCAAATGCAAGTAAACTGGTAATGCGTTTATAAAGTAATATCTTTTCGATTGTTACCAAGACAATGCATTGTATAAAAACAATGGTACAGTATTATGTACAATTCAATATAAAACATAGTCATGTATTTACATATTGTAAAAGAGAGAACATGAGGATAAATTATATACACACGCAAATGCACATTTGAATATGCAGCAAATTATTGCAGCTTCAGAAAGTCAATTAATAAAACCAAAAAGACTTTAATGTCCATTTATTGGCTTCGCAGAAATATGACAATTGCTTTTTTGTAACTACTTACAGGTGGACCATTTGTAAGTCTGAATGTTTTTAATAACATTGCCTCAGTGAAGCTTCAGGACACGTGTCAATCAACATCCGGCTTTGGTCTGCCAATGACCACCAATGTGTGTGAAGCCACTCCATGATGACCTTGATGCAACATTGTCGTGATGATTCATTGATCTGAAAAGGTCTCTTGGCCAAAGCATTGATTTCCACTTAGGCAGGAAAAATTTAATATTTCACGGTTTTTTTTCGTTTGTTTGACAATGTATTTAGAAAATGTATACGATGATGAATTCAGGAAGACAAAAATAAATACTTCACCCCCCAATAAACTACGAAGAGCAAGAAGTTGCTTGAGCCAAATATTTATTGATTTCACCAAAACCTGCAGGAGACGTGAATTGGTCACCGACGACCGTGTTTACCTGCGTTGAGTGAAGCCTTCTCGTCTGTCTGCGCAGACAGAACGGCTCACACCTGATATCAATCACAGGCTAAATGAGCCGAGTGATGAATAAGCCAGGATGCAAAATGAATGGCCCCGGCATTTATAATTGAGCATCTGCATTGCACAAAAGCATCAGCCAGACAAAAAAAAAGGCTTAAGAGCTCGGACATGAAACATCATCTTCGGACGTCTTCTGTTGTCCCACAATAAAAAAAAAATACAGCAAAAAAAGTCGTTTAAATATTACGATTAAAAGGCACAGCCGCTTGATGTGAAATCCATCTGCCGAAACGGCAGCCTCCCCCCCCCCACCATCCTGGTTATGATGGCGTTCGTCAAGGACTACGCCGTGCCAGGTGAGATCACGAGCCAGCTCACACCAGGGTCCAGCCGTGGAGAGGAGGGGGGTGGGTGGATTCGTTTTGTCCTCTAGAAGTCCTCGGGGGCCGCTTCAGCTGAAAAAATACGTCGAGTCTCGCACTTCCTCCAGGTTGAACTCGCCTGCAAAACACAAACCCCCACCGGCTGAAGGTATTCAAAGCATTCCACCAAGTCAACAAAGCAAGGGGGCCAATAATGCGGAAAATCAGCCGCAAGTCCCAAGTCATATTCCTCGCAAATACACAAGGACTGTTGATTTGAAAACGTGTTTTGTTTTTTTCTGCTGCACATAGCAATAAAGGCAAAGATAAATGGTTATAAATTTATATAATTACATGGCATACCTACATACCATGAAGAACCAACTGTGGGCATGTGCAGTTATCGAAACCATACATTATGATTGCTCCAAAGATTGCCATTTAGATGTCCCCTTTTTGTTATCCATCGCGACAGCCCAGTGCATCGGATGTGACTCTGATAAACCGGTTTCTGCCCAGGCACGCTATCTGATTAGGCGCATGGTTGATCAGCGAGCCTCTCCAGCGAATGACAGCGGGTCCCCGGCATCTAATCTCACCGCATTTTTGAGTTCCTTTTTGGCCGCCAAACAAAGCGCCCCTGCAGCGGTGTGACGCGCGAGAAGCACAAAATTGGCGCTTAACGATCAAAAAGCCCGCGTATTAAAGACAAGATAAGCGTCGACCTTTCCGACGGTCAAAACGGAATTCGTTGCGCCGTATTCGCGAGTCCATGCTTGGACGAGTCTGCATTGTAGCCTTTTATTTTACTCTATGCCTTGGCGTTGTATCGTTAAAAAAAACGACACGATGCTGCCGAGCTTCTTGCAGCGTTTAAACAAAAATACAAACCCCGTTCAATCACGTTAAATGTTAAACGTTTTCTTTAAAACTTTATTTGGTCAGGGGCCACAGCGTACAGCGTAGGGTAAAACAAGCAAGCGAACCGTGGAATGCAATGCAGCAGTTTAGCACGTAGGCTTTAGCGACCAATATCATGCACAATACAGGTTTTTTTGGGGTTAGATCACGTAAATATGAAGGTGTTAAACCCGACAGCCAATTAGTAAGGTTTGTCACGTAAACAGGACATGCCAATTCGTTACTAGTACAGCACACCGGTGCGTTGGAGAGCAAATCCACAACATTTACAATCTGAGTAAACAATTGTGCTCCGATTCATTTGCAACTTTTCTTTTGCAATGCGACAACAACAAAAAAGAATATATATCGGGAACTTGACGTGGCAAACATCAAAGTCGCGGAAATGTTCAGCTCAATTATCTTTACGATTTGTGATTACAATGTGAACGTAGTCAAATGCATTCAAATGTTCATTTGCACATGCTATGCAAATGCGGACGGATGTGCACGGCTATGCAATCGCGTACCCTTTGGAGGGATCAGCGTCAGAAAATCCATCAGATGTTTGAACTCTGCAGATGCCTTTTTTCTCCGGCTCGCCCTAAAGCACAGGGGGTGTGGGTCGGGAAAAGAATACGAACGTGCCTTGTGACAAACCGAATGTGAAAAAAAAAACACGCAACGATAAATCATCACAATCACGTTCTGAAATTTACATCGCATTTGAATATCATTATTTCCAAAGAAAACTGACTGAAAATCTGGACGGACAAACAACGCATCGTAACACTTTCAACAAAAATAGGACATCGGCAAAAGGGATGAAAGTTATCTTTTCCCCTCTTTTCTGGCTGCTGTTACAGATCTCAAAGTACACATCCCTTATGCGATGTCTTGAACCCAGTGTCCCAAAGAACTAGGTGAAAATGAAACACCCTATCATTATACCTCCAGTGACATGTCAAGGCACGTCAACAGAACACCGCACGGAGGAAGCCTGTTAGATACAGACGGGCACGATCGCCCCAAGGTGTGGGAACAGCGGGGCGGCAGGCCTGTGGCGGGGGAAGGAGGAGGGGGTGGCATCGAGCAGCACCCCCGAGACTCACGGGGCAAAAACGCTGTACTTGCTGATGAGGAAAGAGGACAGATCCTCCAGGATGGGTTGACTGTGCAGCGCCACAAATTGCTCACGGCACACCTACAGCACACGCACACGTGCACGCACGCGAGCGAATGAAAGTCAACACAAGGTTCTGCACGTGGGCGCGGGTGGTGGTGGGGGGGTGCGGGAGCTGGGGGGGGGGGGCGGAGGGGGAACAAGTACACCCTTCACCTGCTGGGAACCCTGCCACATCGCGGTCGTACGATTTTTCCTGATTTCCATTCGATCTGAACACCAGTGCCCTTCTGTTTATTCTCTCAGATTCCAAGAAGAATACATACATCTTGATTCCCTTACTTTGCATTCCATTCATTACCGCTAAATCTGTTCGCCGATCATGAATTTTAATGTGTCATTCCGCAGAAATATTTATACCCCCCCACCCCCCGCCCCCCCCCCCAATTGTTGTTTTAATGTCCATTCTGCACCGTGCGGTTAGAGGCACCTTGAGAAATATAATACAAGCACATCTCGTTTGTCCAGACACGCACAAGTGAAATTGTTTCTCGGAACAGCAGGTGCCCCGGCGGTCTACTCGCCGAGGCGATTCGCGCAAGCCGACGAGGTGAGGCCTGCGGAGAAGGGCGCTCCGTGCGCTACACTCTACCCGCTGGGTGATCACGTGGCAGCTCTTACCCTGTTCATGATATCCACTGTGGCAGCGTGTGTCCAGAAGCAGTCGTGGACAGAGGCAAAAGATAAGCCCTCCCTGCAAGAGGCCACGCGGATCAATAAACGCGTGCGCAAAGACACATGCAACGCATGAGACGCACATCTTACGTTTTATTCATCCAGTTGCTGCTGCCGTGAAATGATTCGTAAAATAGCGGGTTAAATTAAAATGTCAGTCGTTTTTTTTTTTGTTCGCACCGACATCCAGAGGAGAAGAAGATCTTAACGTTTTGGCTGGCTGGCCTTGCTGAAATATATTGAGGTTTTACAGAGAGCCTGTCCTGGAAGGTGAGATCTGTTGGTCAGAGATGTAAGAAGATGGATGGTGAAGATGGAATTACTTGGTTGCAATCGACTCATTGCACCACAGTTAGTTTCATTTCTCTAGAAGTGATTTTCGTGTTTATTTTTTTTTGTCCTTCACTGCACCTCCGATAAGCACGCTTGGCTACGCTGCCACTGGCTATAACCATGCCATATAACCATGCCAATCCACTATCTCCGCAATGCTGGTTTTGATTTTAGGCTAAGTTGACCAACGGAAGGCTCAAATCAGATGCAGATTGCACGGATGTATGTTGAACTTCTATCGCACCATACGGAGCCAACCATGCTAACTGAAGGTGTGGGAAATAGCCACCGATTTTATGGATGGCCCGGAATCGAACTAGGGTTAGTTGAGATCAGCGTGCACTGCACGGACCTCTAAATCTCCACTCCTCTTCCCTCACATTGCTCAACTTTTGGAACTCCATCCCAAATTCGTATCACCTTGCTCAATTCCAGAAACGTATCCACTCTTATCCATTACAACTTCAGCAATGCCGTTTGTTGCTGGTCGCTTAATGTTTTTGGCCCTTGGGCTCAGCAACCGTGATTACGAGCAAAAAAAAGTCAAAGACAAAGATCCACCGTATAGCCTTAACAATCTGTTGGGGCAAGTGCTGTTAGCGAGCACCTATGAAGGCCGGCACGGAACACGAGAGGGTGGGTGGCCAGCCCCACGCCCAGCCGCCTTTGTCTCCCGAGTGGCGATGTTTCCACACCGCACCAGGTACTTATTTGAGGCTGAGTCGACCTAGGGGAGGCCCAGGACTGATTCAGATAATCGTCAATGGTGTTGACCGTGAGCAGGAATCAAACTTGGGTCGCCGGGTTCATAGCGCAGCACGCTAACCGCTACACCATCACTCCCCACACATACATACAGTGAGGGAAAAAAGTATCTGATCCCCTGCTGATGTTGTACGTTTGCCCACTGACAAAGAAATGATCAGTCTATAATTTTAATGGTAGGTTTACTTGAACAGTGAGAGACAGAATAACAACAAAAAAATCCGGAAAAACGCATGTTAAAAATGTTATAAATTGATTTGCATTTTAATGAGGGAAATAAGTATTTGACCCCCTCTCAATCAAAAAGATTTCTGGCTCCCAGGTGTCTTTGATACAGGTAACGAGCTGAGATTAGGAGCACACTCTTAAAGGGAGTGCTCCTAATCTCAGCTTGTTACCTGTATAAAAGACACCTGTCCACAGAAGCAATCAATCAATCAGATTCCAAACTCTCCACCATGGCCAAGACCAAAGAGCTCTCCAAGGATGTCAGGGACAAGATTGTAGACTTACACAAGGCTGGAATGGGCTACAAGACTATTGCCAAGCAGCTTGGTGAGAAGGTGACAACAGTTGGTGTGATTATTCGCAAATGGAAGAAACACAAAAGAACTGTCAATCTCCCTCGGCCTGGGGCTCCATGCAAGATCTCACCTCGTGGAGTTGCAATGATCATGAGAACGGTGAGGAATCAGCCCAGAACTACACGGGAGGATCTTGTCAATGATCTCAAGGAAGCTGGGACCATAGTCACGAAGAAAACGATTGGTAATACTACACCGTGAAGGACTGAAATCCTGCAGCGACCGCAAGGTCCCCCTGCTCAAGAAAGCACATATATATGCCCGTCTGAAGTTTGCCAATGAACATCTGAATGATTCAGAGGACAACTGGGTGAAAGTGTTGTGGTCAGATGAGACCAAAATGGAGCTCTTTGGCATCAACTCAACTCGCCGTGTTTGGAGGAGGAGGAATGCTGCCTATGACCCCAAGAATACCATCCCAACCGTCAAACATGGAGGTGGAAACATTATGCTTTGGGGGTGTTTTTCTGCTAAGGGGACAGGACAACTTCACCGCATCAAAGGGACGATGGACGGGGCCATGTACCGTCAAATCTTGGGTGAGAACCTCCTTCCCTCAGCCAGGGCATTGAAAATGGGTCGTGGATGGGTATTCCAGCATGACAATGACCCAAAACACAGGGCCAAGGCAACAAAGGAGTGGCTCAAGAAGAAGCACATTAAGGTCCTGGAGTGGCCTAGCCAGTCTCCAGACCTTAATCCCATAGAAAATCTGTGGAGGGAGCTGAAGGTTCGATTTGCCAAACGTCAGCCTCGAAACCTTAACGACTTGGAGAAGATTTACATTATGAGACCTCCTTTGCCAGTAACAAGATATAGTAATAGGTTTTACCCTTTTAACTGGCACAAAAAACTGACACCTTTATTCAAGGCATCATGTCTGCAATAACCACAACACAAGCAGTAAAAATGCAAACAAAAAGACAACTCTGATAATAATATGCACTGTCCTTGAATTTGATTGGTCCACACCCACTATAAAGAAAGCCGTCTCGGGTGTGGACCAATCAAATTCAAGGACAGTGCATATTATTATCAGAGTTGTCTTTTTGTTTGCATTTTGACTGCTTGTGTTGTGGTTATTGCAGACATGATGCCTTGAATAAAGGTGTCAGTTTTTTGTGCCAGTTAAAAGGGTAAAACCAATTACTATGACTTGGAGAAGATCTGCAAAGAGGAGTGGGACAAAATCCCTCCTGAGATGTGTGCAAACCTGGTGGTCAACTACAAGAAACGTCTGACCTCTGTGATTGCCAACAAGGGTTTTGCCACCAAGTACTAAGTTATGTTTTGCAGAGGGTCAAATACTTATTTCCCTCATTAAAATGCAAATCAATTTATAACATTTTTGACATGCGTTTTTCTGGATTTTTGTTGTTGTTATTCTGTCTCTCACTGTTCAAATAAACCTACCATTAAAATTATAGACTGATCATTTCTTTGTCAGTGGGAACACGTACAAAATCAGCAGGGGATCAAATAATTTTTTCCCTCACTGTACATACAGACACACAAACACAGATTGTCTGCAGGGGTGATTTGGGGCACTTTCAAGAATAGATTTGCCGCTTCATAACATCTCCTTTGCTAAGCCGCACTTTTAAACACAATGCAGCGCACGGCACTGTGGCAATTTCATACCACTGGGCCGATGGGTCCACAAGTTTACGTATGTGTTTGAACCTTTTCCCGTGGCTCTTGGATGTTTCAGAAGGTTTGAGTGAGTGCTCTGGAAACACTTAAGGGATCTGCTGGTATTTTAACCCACGACGCACCTGTAGCAGTAAAGAGCCGTCAGCATCATGTGTGTGGAGTCCAGCGAGTGGATGAAGTTTGGCGGGAACGCATTTTTCTGTTTCATGATGTTCGGTTTTCTGCAACAATTACGGACGATGTGTGTGCATATATAAAACAAGTCAACAGGTTAGATCTCACAATGCAGAAGTAAAAAAAATTGTCAATTTCATTAAACGCCCCCACCGCCATTGCCCCCCACTCTGTCCACCCAGGAGTATAAATGCGTTCACCACAGTTAGCTGATGGGCCAGATCAGGTGTGTTGGGATAAAGTGTATGTACTCCCCACATGTTCAAAAACGCCTCGCCAGTGTGGAAGAGTAGGCCAAATACCCTCTTAGATGTGCTCTGCAGGGCTCCCTCTAGTAGAGGCACTTCTCGCCTGCAGGGGTGCGAGCAAGACATTGCAGGGCTGCACCTTGGACAAAAACTATTGTTGGATAAACTTAATCATAAAACTACAATGTCAAAGGACATTTCGGGATGTATACCAACTCAAGATTATTTTTCTCTCCACTCTATTGTAATGTGTGTGCAACCAATTTCAAAAATGTGCCGCTATTTTGATTATGATTAACCGAGCTTGCATACGTACTGGTTTACGTCTGTAGAATTGCATAGTCCTATCATCTGCATGTGGCCGTTCAACTGTAACAACAAAATAAATTGATAATTACAAATACAACCAAGTATGAAAAATTATACCAAAAACACACACAATATGTCATATACATTAATCATAGCCGGAGCTGACGATAGCACATTAAAACATTAATTGTAGGAATAAATAATATTACTCTCTCGACCCGGCGACTCCGACAGCAACTCTGGTAAACAAGATATAAATATTGATTCTCAACGAGTTCTCCCGTGCTTTAATAAAAGACATGATAACCACGGAAACAAAACATGTGCCTTCCAGATCTCTGATTAAAAGATTACCGGTCATACACTGTGTGCTTTCGGGTCATCAGGACCACATGTACAAGTTTGCCGACGCCACAGTGCACTTGCTGCAGACTTATACTAATCCACAAAGCGGAGGTATTGTCCAAATAATGAGCTTTCTATTCATTGTCTCTCATCACCATCTGCCGCACACTTTCCACCGGCCAGCTCAGCCCTCCCAATGGATGCGGGCTTTGGTGGGTGCTCAGTCTGCAATGTGCAGGCAACGTTTTTGACAGGGAACAACTCCATAAATCTGTGTTAGGGTTCCCAAGTGGTGGCAAATACATTTTACAGAAAATAGCGCTTTGAAATTTCGCCATTAAACTGTTTCCAACACATTTAATTAAATCCGGCTGATTGGCACCATAGCGGATTGCTTGGCTCCAAAACTGAGTTTAATCATGGTTGGAAGATGACTTGTCCCATGATCCTTCTGGGGTTGATAAAATTAGCACCAATTTGGGCCAAGTAAACAGTGGCTGTGCTTTGGAGAAATCAGCCTCGCCAACAAAGATGAGCACTCGATTGCGCAGGGAGGCGTCTGTTTTAATCAACAAGAAGCACATAATTATAAAAAAACAAATGTAATCTAATATTGTTCACTCTCTTCAAAATGTAATTGCTGCTTTCAGCTTAGAGGTCAGTCTTCAATTGAATAATATTCTAATAACTTCCACTTCAATACAAACGAATTAAAATCAACAATTAATACAAAACTATTTCAGTAGCGCGGGACTGCTTTCAATCTGGTTAGGGCTATGACATATTAATTTGATTGTAAAGCATATCACGCCATATTGATTATTTGTGAAATGACACAAACAATTTTAGAGAGTCCTGCTATGTAAACAGAATGGAGATGGCACCAGCAGACAATTCAACGAAGACCAAAATTTGAACGGTCAAAGCATCCACCACACGATGGGCCCAAATTACCAATTAGTATCGCAATCTTGCATTGCCGTATAAATCTACGGAATTGGAAGACAAGAAATAGTCATTACCCAAAAGGTTTACTACCAAGCGATCGAAGGCGAGATTGTACTAACGGCCCATCAGGACAGTATAAGAAGATAAAGACTGTCGTTCTAAATATTGCAACCATTATCTGAACCGGTCCTGGGCCTCCCCTGGGTCGACTCGGCCTCAAATATGTACCTGGTGCGGTGTGCAAACATCGCCACTCGGGAGACAAATGAGGCCGGACGTGGTGCTTGCCACCCACCCCCTCGTGTGCCATGCCGGCCTTCATAGGTGCTCGCTAACAGCACTTGCCACAACAGTCTGTTAAGACTATACTGGGGATCTCTGTCTTTGGGGAGAGATAAAAACCCGCTGCGTTCATTGAATACAGGTTGGGCTGGGCACTCTCGCTCTCCTCGCCCTGCCTTTGCGTTTAAGCCCGTCGCTAACGGTTGCATCATAGTCCAGAATGTTTTATGGGTTTTATGAAATCAGCTCCTTGACGTCAATGGCGCAAACCGCCCGGCCACAGGGCGAAGCTACACGGAACACCACATCCAGGGGGAGGGGGGCAGGGGGGACAGGGGTGGGTGGGGTGAAATCGTAAAGGCCGGAGTAGCTGGGGGGAACACAAAGCAAACAGGAGCAGGTAATGGAATGTTGCTCAAGCATAGGGATCTCGGAGGTCGAAGGGAGAATATATGAAAGGGGAAACAAAGAGAGGGGGGGCAAGGGGGGTGGTATGTCTGCCAGAGAGGCTGCATGGCAGCCAGGTGGCAGAGTTGTTCGAATGACTTTGCAACACTCGTCTCTCCTTACCAGTCCTCCGCTTCCTTAGACTTCCTTTGCCAGTACCAAAATGTAATAACATTATTACATGTAATATTACATGCAATATTATAATAATGTAATAATATTTTTACATGTAATATTACATGTAAAAATATTATTACATTTTTGTACTGGCAAAGGAAGTCTAATGATGTAGATGCTCACCCCGAGCCCTCATTACTTTGATAGCGGCATTGTCTTTGAGCTGTGTGACGCCTTTTGGCGTCATCTGGTCGAGCACCAATTGGGTCGAGGCTCAAAAGAAAGCCGTCCCTTGGTGTGGACCAATCAGTTTCAAGGACAATGCCAATATATTATCATAGTATGTCTTTTGTTTGAATTTTGACTGCAGGTATTGTGGTTAATGCAAACATGAATCCTTGTAAAAAGGTTTCAGTTTTGTTGCCAGAAAAAAGGGGAAAACCCCTATTAATAGTCCTCCTCTTGTTTGTTAATGGCCACAGCGGCTAAACAGTAAGGACAGACAAGGACCCTATGCAACCAGAATTGATTAATAATGCTAACGACAGCCCAGCGCACGTTATCCCACACTCTCTAGGTTTGGGTTTTATTTTGGCACAGGTAATGCCAAGAGGATAAGATTTTTTTTAAGGCAAAAAAAATTAATTTAAATTTTTCATATCTGCTTTGGCAAGGCGGGACAACCCATCAGGGAGCTCAACGTTATTAATGCCTCGGGTGCTTGAAGCATTCAGCTAAAAACAAATGGATTATTTCAAAAATGACTTATTTGAGAAAGGCATTGTCCTACACTTTTGCATAATTGCACATTACATTATCATGCTTTAATGCTTTTATGTGGATAATCGGACTGAACCGGCAGTGTGAAAATGTGAGAATTATAAGAGATAGAAGCTTAACTTTCATCCGCGGCAGCTAGCTTATAGCTTTTACAAAGACATCATGTCCACGTATTAGTCTTATTCATCCATTTGAAGGTCTGTTGGAATGTTTAAATAAGTGGGACACGTGTATAAATTATCGTAACCGAATGCTTATTAAAAACAGTTAAACTCGAAAGCAATTTCCTGGCCAAAATGTGCATTGGAGGAGGTGCTCATCACCAGTTTACAGCCCTCCATTAGTGGTGGAAATTCCACATTCCTATGGCGGAGGAAAATTTAGGCACCAGACAACCATTGTTGACTTGTGTGGGATTTGGTCCTATTTTATCGACATCGCAAGGGTTTATGGGTTGAGAAAACACCCCAACCGGGAGTTGAACTCGCAACCTTCCAATCGCACGTGCCAGCACACTGCTGCAACTGAATGTATTCTGGGTGACCGACTGAAGAATTCACAACAACTTGGTACAAGTATCCATTTAGAGCGTTCAAAAAGAACATTCTCAAAATAGAGATAATCGCACCCACCGAGGAACAATCACACTGCCTGCGCGGACTAAATAGGACAACCTGCTTCATGTACTGCCTTCAACAGGCCACGTGATACCAAATATTAATTGCATTTTGTTGACACTGTATGTATGTATGTGGAACTTATTCCGCACCGTACGTAGCCAAACGTGCAAATCGGAGAGCCGCAGTTGACAATTTGAGCATGTTTAGTAAAATCCTTTTCATGTCGCCACGTCACAATCTTGATTTAATAAACACTTTAAATATGCATATATTGTACTCGTATAAAGAAAAAAACATAAACAACCGACTTGGAATGCCGTATTACTAAATTAATAGTCAATAAAAAGAGCCATAAATAAACCAAAATACTCCAGGCACGTGACCCCTGAAAATTAATTTCTTCTGCTGGGCTGGTCCCAAGGAAGCCAGCAAAGACAGAGGGCAAGCCCTTGTAGGCCATCATGTTTATTACATCCTGCCCAAACAGCACGCGTGGCCACGGGGACGCGCACGGGGACACGCACGGAGACACGTACAGAGACACGCACGCAGTGGCGAGCTATCCGAGAGGTCACACAGCTCCACAAACAGCGGCACACTGGCGCCCATCGATCTCACCGAGGGCCCATTTTGAAAACAGCGATGACTCAACGCAGCGCGGTGATTACAGGCGCCCTCTTTCCCATGGTGTGCAACGTCGTACGCACGTTTCACCGCGGATTTAAACATGAAGGCTTGAAGTAAAAACACTTGTTTGCGTAAACATAGCGACCAACTTCCACCAACCGTGATGCGATTTGTCCTTTGGTGAGGCAAACTCGGCCTCGCCAAAGGAACGTGGAATTTCCACCACTGGCTCAGGGCTGTAAACAGGAGACGAGCACTGGCTCAAGGCTCATTTGAACAGGACATCGCTTTCACTTGACGGGATTAACTCGGCACGTGACAATCCACACACGCCCTCGCCGTGGGATGAATTGCCATGACTCAGGCGTCGCGATTCAATTTGAAAATAAATTCCCGTCTGCTCTTTTAGCCATCCCATTTGCATTGTTTCTCGCTTTCATCCGTCTCGCTTGTGCATTACTGTCCACCACCTAAACGTACCGATAGAATATCACTTTAAGACGATTTGCATGAATGATACGTAATAATCGATCCTCACAGTGAGGATCACTGAGCATAATAATTGAAGCAATGCCAATTTAGAATTCTACAGCACTTCGATGGGGGTGGGGGAGTTTGTTATTCGTAAAAGTTTGTCTGCCGAGTTGTTTGGCAGGTCTATTTATCCATAAGTCGCAGCACATTCTTGATATGTTATGTAATGCAGCATTGTGTGTGCGTTTTGCCTTCACTTCATCCAAATCACATTTTTTGATGTCAAGGACAAAGCGATTCTCTCAATTTGTGTGACCCTCCGCGCACCACAAAAAAATACCCACCGCACGTTAGGGGAACAAACCAGAAGGGGATACCACAAAACTACTACTTGCAGTGTCCCTGCAGTTAGTATCAATTAACAACTGGGACTTAACGAAGCATCGATGTATTGATTAATATTGATTCGTACGCTAAGGACACGTGCATAAAATAGCATGTGTAAGAAGAATAAATCTATACGTGCATGGAGGGGAGGCAGGGGGAGCGGCGACAGAGATATTAGCGCACTGCATTTAAAACCAGCCACATGAGTTTGATTCCTAACTACAGCTAACATCGGTCTCGAGTGATATCTGAACCGGTCCTGGGTGCCCCCCCCCCCCCAACTTTACCAACCACTGACCAGCGTGGTGAAGTACGGTCAAACACACCCTCATGAACGACACAGCGTCGCGGGAGGCATTCACCCAGTTGCTCACGAGACAAAAGGTTTTCCGCTTGTTTGCAATGGGGTTCAAGTGGACAATGCAGCCACTAAGAGGTTGCTATACCCACCGCATTGTTTGACAAGCGAATTTATTCTTCATTTTAATCGTGATGATGAATCGAATAGCCGGTGGCGGGGGGGGGGCAGGCCGGGGGGTGGGGGTGGGTGTTGGAGGATGGGGGGAGGTGGTGGAGGGCGGGGGGAGAATTGGTACATCGCTAATGAACAGCCACTATTAGATCGCACTCCTCCAAGCATGAACATGAGGCTGAGGGGTAGTGCACCGTATTTGCCGATTAAAAACCGTTAGACCTTGAAAAAAGTTGGAAGTGAACGCAACTGGCAATTTGTTTAACGAAGGACTTTTGCACAGACGTGAAAGAAACGGACCTCTTGTTGTTCTCCTTCCCCCGCACCTCCGATTAGCACGGTTGGCTACGTGCAGGGACGAAAGAAGTTCGACCATACATACGTACAGACCGAGAGCACCGCACTCACTGCTCCTGAGCGATGCGCTGTGTCCACGTTTGCGGAGCGACTGTCGATGCGGTCGCGTTTGAACGCTTCGTAAATCCGGAGCGCATTGTACCCCAAGAGCTAGTCGGTCACAAGGGTTTGTGCTGTATCAGAGCACCGGACCTTTGCCATTAATGCGCGTGAAACACACAGCTGAAAGGTTTTGGGTTTTATTTTTGTTCCTTATGCTTATTGCTAAGTTGGTTTGATGAAAAAGGCAGTTTTTTTTTTTCATTTTGACTTTTACGAGCTTGTTCATTTTCCACAACTGTGGCACTTTGTGCAGTACATGAATAGGGTGCGCTCAGGGTCTTCCTGGAAAAGTAAAATTCTGTCTTGATGAGATCTTCACTTAAATAAACTTGGTGTGTGTGTGGCGGCTACATATGGATTTCTCTCAATTGGGTATATGGGCATCAGACACAGGATCTCAGACTGAGACTAGTGCCAATTCACCACGTTAACAATAACATTTATCATTATCTCTTACACTTGTCTTGCCGAGCCAGGTGACAGCCACTTCATCAGCAGCGTGGAGTGAGAGGCCCTGTGTCCACTGTTCGAGTCCAATCAGGGAACACTCATCGACGATGTGACACAGTGACACGGTCCTGTCTGTCGCTGAGCACATCCACAGAGTTGGTTTGTGGTCACGTTGGCCTTAGGTGTTGAGCAAGGCCCGTGACCGGCGTGGCAGGCAGACAATGGGTGGGATTGGCAATGCAGACGCAGTTCTCTACGTATGTATGTTGAACTTCTTTCGTACCGTATGTAGCCAACCGTGCTAATCGGAGGTGCGGGGGAAGGACGACAAACAACGTACTGAGTGGACTGTTGCGGACGGCACCTTCATCTGTGAAAAAGAGCTTCATAGCTCATCGGATTCTTCCAGTCAAAAGAAATATTCTGATTCTGACCTTGATAGCTTACCGATGAGTCGCAGCGTGGCAAGTCGGTCCACACGGGGCAACGGTGGCCTGAGATCTCTGGTATAGCAGGACATCCTTCAACCGTGTTATTTTGAACAAACTATTTGTTCGAATTTCAGTGTTATTTTTTTTTAAAAGGACTTGCACCTTTCAAGTGAATGCTGAGTAATTTAACATAGTGTGCATAATGATCCAATTATTTACAATTATCCATTTCTGGAAATGTGTTGTGCAGATGGGCACGCATAACTAGCAATCAGTGCCATTCACACGCACGCACAAAGAAATGCCCCTAATAGGACAATGTCTTATTTTATCGTCCGTAAGCCAGGGATTTTTGTGCGTCACCAGGAATGGGATTAGCTGCGCTAATGTCCCCGGTGCGTGTGATGAGAGTATGCAGAGTTCGCTGCGAGGTGGAGAAGCAGTGCCATTAGGCGTCGATATTACTGGCCAAGCGCACAGGAGCAAGACCACATGGGCACAAACACTGCCCTGCTCTTTAAGGTCTCTGAAATTATAATGCACAACATCTTTAGGTTGGGTGGCCAGAAGAGAGATTTGTCGCTGTGCAGTGGATGGAACAGAAAGGTGGAGAGATGTGAAACAAAAAGACAAACATCCCCCATATAGCCTTAACAGGCTGTTGGGGCAAGTGCTGTTAGCTAGAAGCACCTATGAAGGCCGGCACAGCACACGAGGGGGTGGGTGGCCAGTACCCACCCGGCTGCCATTGTCTTACTTGTGGCGATGTTAACACACTGCACCAGGTACTCATTTAAAGCTGAGTCGACCTCCCCACGTGGAACACACACACACACAGACGTAACAAACTACAGTAAAACCTTGGATTGTGAGCATAATTCGTTCCGGTAACGTGTTTGTAATCCCAAGCACTCGTATATCAGTTGTGATCACGTGACGCTCGGCAGACAAAGCGTATACGTACTACTCGTATTGCAAGACCTCGCTCGTTTATCAAATCAATATGTATTTAAACATTTTGCTCGTCTTGGAAAACACTCGCAGACCAAGTTACTCGCAATCCAAGGTTTTGCTGTATAGATGGGATGGTGTGGTACAACCACAGTGTGAGGCAGCCACAAAAGTCGATAAGTATAATCATGGGACTGCATGAAGCTCATAATAATGACAATTTGAACTTGTAATGCGCTCACTCTGGAAGACAAAGAAGAATTCAAGAGCTGCACTAAAGGCAGCCAGGTGGTGAACCGGCACTAATTCTCCCCCAAGCTCTGCAGTTCTCCATATATTAAGGTGTTATCGGCCAATTCATGATTGTTTACATGTAGGAGGAAACCAGAGCACCTGCAGAAAACCCACGTGTGCTAGGGGGCAACACTCTATCCCATACAGATGGAACAGGAGGAATTCACAGTTGCTGTGCTCCTTTCTCCTGGCAAGCCAACGTATGGCACCTGCACGCCCACAAGATGCGAGTTTCACACATCTGTGCGAGTCACCAACCTCGCAACCAGAGTGCTGGCTTACACCACCACGTGGCTAAGCCATTAGACCACCATTGGTTACAATTGGTACTCTCTTTCTAAACAAGAGGTGTTTAATTTATTAAAATAATTGAGTATGCAGAAGGTAAAAAAAGACAAGCTGTTCCTGTGTAGGTAGGCGAGCTAACATTCAAAGAAATTAATTTTCTTACGGCTCCAAAATATATTTTAAGGTAAGGTGGGTTGTGTTTTTTTCCTTCACAAGATGTTGGAGTGTTTTATTAAGAGCTGAAGGCATAATAAATGGAAGAGTTTTTTTTTTAAATCAAGGCAGAGAATTCCATAAACTACGTGGAATTTATATTCTTACATGCGCCTCTCTGTGGCCCGCAAGTCATCTTTTCAAGTGCAGACCGTCCTTTTTGTTCCATCTCTTCCAAAAAGATGAAATAAAAAATAAAACCTATGGAAGTATTGCATATGCAAATGCAATTTCAGAATCGCTCAAGAGACATTAGTCCGACTCAACTCAATCGTAAAGGCAATTTTTTTGTTAGTGTTCCAAGAAAGCCTGTAGACGTGGCTACTGCTGTCAAACGAAGTCTTATATTAAGTTTCAGAGGAGATCTCGGTTACTGGCATCATGGTATTGCAACATTCTTTTTGACCATTAATAATTGATGCCTGCCCTCGCTCAGTAGGTTCCCATGTTAAATTGCCAAATAGGCAGTAGTTCATGTTTCTCGACAGTCACTGCAGACCTATATATATTAGTGAACAAAACACCGGCCCCAGTTAAAGAGAACAGTCTGGGCTGTCTGAGAACAGTAGAGAGGACGGTCAACTGCTTGGCCAAGTTTTGGACAAAACCCAAACCGGGGTGCGATAACCGTGGCACGTGGTGGTTAATTACAATTGGCCGTGAGAAGTGCGTTTCCAACAATGTCAGCACCACCACCAACGGCTCTCTGCCAAACACGACAACACCAAAGTAATAAGTGCTCAGGGGGCAGCCACTGCATCATTGGATAGGTCCACAATTCACAGCGGTCGCTGGCTAAAAGAGAGTAATGCGCAACTGTGGACACGGGAGGCAGCTTGAGCAGGCGTGAGGTGGTGGTGGCGGTGGCGGCAGCGGCGGCGTCCGGCTGTGGGCGCGTGTGGCACTCACCACGGATCGTTGGGTTCGGTGGTAGGGCTGTATGATGGGCAGGCCCAGCGGCGTCACCCACTCGACCGACTGGCCCGCACGGGCGATCATCCTCGCGCTCTCGGTCAGCCAGTTCTGAAGGGATCAACGAAGGTGGCGCGCGAGCGTTAAATCATTTAGCGGTGACAGCGACAGTGCTCGTATATGCCTACGTACTCCGTATAATAACAGGTGAAGAGCACAGTAATTTCTTGCTCATAACACTGCTGGAGGTAGAGCCTCAACTCGAGGGAGCTCTGGCGAGCCCTTTCACCAGGGTACCTTAGCCTTCCCTTCCACGCTGGTCGAAAGTCTTGGAAGAGGTAGGAGTACACACACTTTACCCCACCACATGCGACAAACCGATCAAATAACTGCGTACCCATTTATACTGCTGGGTGAACAGAGGCGGAGGGCTTTAAGAAGCCTACGGAATTGTTTTAGCTGTCATGCTGGAAAATTGAACCAGCGACCTCTGCATTGAAAGTTCTGTGTGCTAGCCATTACACCGTGGCAGCATTATCCTGTATTCCTTTTTAAAAAGGCAATCAGCATTATCCTGTATTCCTTTTTAAAAAGGCAATTAGAGTTATTTTGCTACTCAGGTCAATTATTACAAAGAAAGAGGTTGCAACCCGCAGATGAAACTCATTAAGAGCGAAATCATTCCAAGGTTGCCTTCCTTAAACAAACGTTGCCGGAAACTTTAATTTGAAGAACCCATATGGAAATGCTTAAATGTATTTTTTCTGTTGAACGACATTTTCTTAAATGGCTCGATTTTCAAGACCCACCAATAACACAGAAGTCATGGCGTGAAATGTCATGGTGGCTGCCGTTTTAGTGTTGGAAAACACTTGATATACATACGCCAACCACACTTATTTTTGCAATTCCATTTTACATTGCAAAAGTTGACTTTTTTTTACTTTATTTATGAGGACACCAGGATTGAGTATAATTTCATAATGCTCAAAATAACCGACCCGACCCCCCCCCAAAAAAAAAGATTTACAGCACTAAAAAAATAAATACAGGACATAATATAAAATGCAGCTCTCTCTAAAGTGGGTAGATATGTACAGAGTATTACCCTAAAGAGCTCTGTAGCGAAGAGAGCAACGCAAACTGGAAGACAGCGTAACCTTCAGGAAAAATAGATTACGTGGTTACAATATCTAAAAGGGACTGCGGAGAAGGCTAAGACCAGCCACGGACACACAACGGTTGTACTGCAGCACACAAGTGAATCATCATCTTACCCACTAAACCGCCCCTCCCTCCTCACCCCCATGCCCCCCCCCCCTTTCCACCTACCCCTACCCCCCTCCAGGGAGAATAGACGGGCACTTGTATCACAACGTTGAAGAGAGGCAAAGACAAACCCGTGTGATTTTTGTCTTCAACAACAAAAAACAATATCTCATTTTACGCATAATTAATTGGGAACAGCACTGTGCTAACATCGTATCTTGCGCATTCACTGGTGGTAGTTTTGGATACCGGCTTAAAATAAGCTTAAAGCAAGGTGATTCAATTAGCAGAAGAAATCGGATAATGTCCTTAGTCCCTGAAATAGCAGGGCCATAAGCTGACACAAACAGATTTTCCACAATCCACAGAAACACTTACAGTTAGGGAAAAAAGTATTTGATCCCCTGCTGATTTTGTACGTTTGCCCACTGACAAAGAAATGATCAGTCTATTATTTTAATGGTGGGTTTATTTGAACAGTGAGAGACAGAATAACAACAAAAAAATCCAGAAAACTGCATGTCAAAAATGTTATCAATTGATTTGCATTTTAATGAGGGAAATAAGTATTTGACCCCCTCTCAATCAAAAAGATTTCTGGCTCCCAGGTGTCTTTTAAACAGGTAACGAGCTGAGATTAGGAGCACACTCTTAAAGGGAGTGCTCCTAATCTCAGCTTGTTACCTGTATAAAAACACCTTTCCACCGAAGCAATCAATCAATCAGATTCCAAACTCTCCACCATGGCCAAGACCAAAGAGCTCTCCAAGGATGTCAGGGATAAGACTGTAGACCTACACAAGGCTGGAATGGGCTACAAGACCATTGCCAAGCAGCTTGGTGAGAAGGTGACAACAGTTGGTGCGATTATTCGCAAATGGAAGAAACACAAAAGAACTGTCAATCTCCCTCGGCCTGGGGCTCCATGCAAAATCTCACCTCGTGGAGTTGCAATGATCATGAGAACAGTGAGGAATCAGCCCAGAACTACACGGGAGGATCTTGTCAATGATCTCAAAGCAGCTGGGACCATAGTCACCAAGAAAACAATTGGTAACACACTACGCCGTGAAGGACTGAAATCCTGCAGCACCCGCAAGGTCCCCCTGCTCAAGAAAGCACATATATATGCCCGTCTGAAGTTTGCCAATGAACATCTGAATGATTCAGAGGACAACTGGGTGAAAGTGTTGTGGTCAGATGAGACCAAAATGGAGCTCTTTGGCATCAACTCAAATCGCCGTGTTTGGAGGAGGAGGAATGCTGCCTATTACCCCAAGAACACCATCCCACCGTCAAACATGGAGGTGGAAACATTATGCTTTGGGGGTGTTTTTCTGCTAAGGGGACAGGACAACTTCACTGCATCAAAGGGACGATGGACGGGGCCATGTACCGTCAAATCTTGGGTGAGAACCTTCTTCCCTCAGCCAGGGCATTGAAAATGGGTCGTGGATGGGTATTCCAGCATGACAATGACCCAAAACACACGGCCAAGGCAACAAAGAAATGGCTCAAGAAGAAGCACATTAAGGTCCTGGAGTAGCCTAGCCAGTCTCCAGACCTTAATCCCATAGAAAATCTGTGGAGGGAGCTGAAGGTTCGAGATGCCAAACGTCAGCCTCGACACCTTAATGACTTAAAGAAGATCTGCAAAGAGGAGTGGGACAAGATCCCACCTGAGATGTGTGCAAACCTGGTGGCCAACTACAAGAAACGTCTGACCTCTGTGATTGCCAACAAGAGTTTTGCCACCAAGTACTAAGTCATGTTTTGCAGAGGGGTCAAATACTTATTTCCCTCATTAAAATGCAAATCAATTGATAACATTTTGACATGCATTTTTCTGGATTTTGTTGTTGTTATTCTGTCTCTCACTGTTCAAATAAACCTACCATTAAAATTATAGACTGATCATTTCTTCGTCAGTGGGCAAACATACAAAATCAGCAGGGGATCAAATACTTTTTTCCCTCACTGTATGCTGCTGTATTAAGCACATTTCAAAATTAAGCCTTTGACAATATAAATGCAACATCAACGATTCCGCAAATATCCTCTCAACTGCCTGGCATCAAGGGGAATTAAGCATAGGCTAAAACAATGCAATTCGACAGACAGAACTGCTTACAATTTACTTTCCTCAAATGGATTTTGGAAAAGTACAAAGTCCCTTATCGTTTAACCGCAACGGCATCGAGAAAACAAATACCCAAATTTATCGCAACGCACGCATGTATTAAACGGAGCAAAAAATAAATCTCACGAGCGAGCAAACTTATTTGTCGACATGAGCGGAAACTCCGCCAACACCCTGCCCCCAACATCAGCCCAACTTGCTGCCAAATCCCCGAAATCTGCCACTGACCTAAATGACGTCAGAATGCACGTCACATGTTATGGCTGGAGCATCGCCGCAGGCACGGCCACGTGTTTCCTTATTCTATTCCCCCCGCGCCCGCGTGGACAAGCGCGGCGCACGCAAACGGCTTCACGGCGGCCCGCAGTTGCGGCCGCGGTTTGGTAGCCGGGAAGAAGGCACACAGCCAGGAACGAGCCGTGCCTACGCAGTGGGAAGAGCGGGTGAAGGTGAGCATCCGACACCCCATCCCTCAAATCCGCTGACAACTCATTTATTATTCAGGGCGCACGCACCAGGCTGCCCAATCTGCTGACCTTCCCAGCAGTGATGCAATACTTGGGAATTAAATTACCGTGTTTTAGGAAAGGTCATAACTGGGGGTGGGGGGGGGGAGAATCAAAACGAGGGGGTTCCAAAGCTGGAGGGCCCCAAAGATTGATGAAGTTTGCGAGCGGTCCCGTTCGCGACCAACACACGGCCCTGCATGAACGAGGAAACTGTGCGCAGGAGATAAGATGCCGTGTCACTGCACCGTGTAAAATATATATATAAAGCGGCAGCCCTGAAATTGCTTGCTCATACCACTACTGGCGGAAAAGCCTCCTCCACTCGAAGGAGTTCTGCAGAGTCCCTCTTAGGGAGTATTCTTGGCATGCGCATTCACTCTGGCCAGACGTCTCGGAAGAGATGGGAATACCCACACTTGAACCCGCCACACGGGATCATAAGCGTACCATGCACAGGTGCCTTCATAATTTTTCCTGCTTCCTCTAAATTATTAGGTTTTTTTTACGCAGGAAAGAGATGCCGTCTTATGTCCATGCGAAAATGAAGGTATGTGGGCTGCACAGCGGGATCCTGCATCTTGTAAGTTTTAAATAGCGAAGTGAAGACGATTTTCAAAACATGCAGGCATTCTCTCACAGAGCCATTACTCACTGGGGTCCTTCACACGGCGCTGAGTCATGGATTAAACCGGGGAACCTAAACAGCGCAAATGTGTCCCGCGATATTAAATTTGTACCCCGCTCGCAAACGGAAAACCCGAATAAACATGTTAACACGTACACAGTGCTCGCCCACACTAATGTAAAAACAGCCGCTATCTGCCTTTCGCGAATGAAATTGCAGAGATCGCGTTTTAATTCAGGGAGGACACGCACGCGCGCTTGATTAAATGTAACACGACCGTCGCAGGGCTGTCAAAAGCGGCGACGAGAGTGGGAAAGCCTTCATCAAGCAGCGGATAGACAATTCGCTCATGACAATTGCTGATGACCGATAAATTGTTGAAAATGCAGAATGTGGGGGGGAAAGTCTCTACGAATTAAAAGGATATTTGCGCAAAATAGATATATCGTATGCAACCTACAGCAGATGAAGGTGCTCAACATTGACAAGTCTGTTTGTTACCAGGTGGACAGTGTGGTGTTCAAATGCATCGCTTAATTATTTTCTGTTTGTCTCACTTGTACCGTGGTGCTAGACGGAATTGGACAAGTAACGGATGAACCGAGCCAATTCATGCCCTTTCTCGACCAAAATTTAACTATTGGGAGTAAAGATAGCCCTATTTTTGCCACAACCCAACACGAACAAGCGATTTAAAAGGTCCCAAACACCCGGCTAGACAGCCTTTCGTAATTATTCACCCCAAATTAGTACAGCTTCGTTTGAAAGCCACTCTGTTGCCAACTAGATTCTCATTTTCAACAATCAAAAAAGCTGTGATATATTTTATTTAATGGCTCAAACGCTTTATTGAATTTTCATGTATTGTTTTTTTTTTCAAAGACATCGTCGTCTTCCAGCGTGGTAGACAATTAAAAGGCTGCTTATATAACACGTCGATCGCCATTGTGAAGACGACAGCTAAGCAGCGGATGAACACTGGCATTTCACCTCCATCACCAACCAAAAACTCAAACGGCTTGAAGCAACGGCATGTTTGATTTTAACGTAAACCACGGGGCTACGTGAAGAAGGATCCGCAAATGTAATAATTACATGGACTTTTTTTTATCACAAAGAGAGCATCACGAAAAAATACACGTTACTTTACGGACAGAGGGCGCAACACCACAATGTCTTACTCGTGGAGCTGCTGGTGGGAAAAGGTTCCACAAGAGGAAGCTCTACAGAGCCGCTCAAGTGAGCCCTGTAGTATGACACCACACGCGACCTGCTTGCTGCCTGCTGATCGACCGGCTGTGGTAGAGACATTTAAACCGCGCCTGGACAGTGAACAAAGGGGAATTGAAAAATCCTGCACCCATTGTTTCAACTGCCACGCCCAGGGTTGACCTCTGGAACTGAAAGTTCATTCTGCTAGCCCTTACACCACGGCAACATCCTGCTCCTTATAATGTTGCCAATTACACGGAAGGTTAATCAAACACACCCTGCAAGCAGCCGCCTTTGCTAAATAATTACTGTTAATGTGTTTTTTTACCCATTCCTTTACCCTCCCAAAACATGATGAAATTAGTTTAACACGTAGGCTTTCGCGACCAATATTATTCATAATAAAGGTTTTTGGGTTAGATCGCGTTATTTATAAATGTGTCGTAACCCTCCACCACCCGACACGGCCAATCAGCAAAAAAAGTGTCACGCTGACAAAAGACAAATAGTTCATTACTTTAGCCCACCGGTGTGTTTTATTATTATTATGAATGATGAAATTACTTTAATAGAATAATTAACGGACACATTTCGCACCTGTGCCTCCGGTGACACCGTTCCCTCTCGCCGAGAGGGCCCATTTAAGTTTTTGGTTCAACGTGACCCTCGTGTTACGGTATAAAAGGCGCATAAACGTCGCATTATTTTCGAACAATGCAAACCTTATTGATGATGACGTTTTGCACAAGAATGTGAGTTCTAAGCAAGGGCAATTGCAGGGAATCTGTAAACTCCCGGGCTGCAGGGAGCGAGCGAGCGAGCAAGTCGGTGAGCAAACATTAACGAGCCCCATTCGTCTTATCTGTTCCCTCTCATCGTATCGGAAACAGCAGGGGGCAAAAAAACCAGGCAAATTTAATCAAAGGCCTGTAATGAATTGTACGCAATGCCTGTCAAATCCGTCTACGTTTGGTCGTCATAGTCATCTGACGCGGCTGTGCAAAAACTGCTTATGTAAAGCTATACCCCTGCAAATGTAGGTAATTTGGTTAGTTCTTGCCTGATAAAACTGTATCTTTACCATTGTTAGGTGGGTAATTACACTGGGCGGAGGATGATTTAGTGTCGTTAGCCTAATTACCTGCTGCAATTCAAGAGAAAGGGAGGACTGTTGCGATCAATAGCACACACACACTATCATTTCCACTGAAACGCATGAGAGTTTTGAATTGGTGGTCACAACGCCCCGGTTTATTTGCAGCTCCGCTTCGGAGAATTGGTGCGGAGTAAACGCAGAGCCTCACTCTCATGGATTATTAAAGCGCACTATTTCCAGTCTTACATAAAACCAGCATATAATGAAATAAGAGTAACGGTGGGGTGGGGGGGAAGTATTATTTAGATTTATACTGCTACGTAGGTTTTCACGGTCGTGCTGCACAGCTATCCGATGTTTCTTCGGTGTTTACGCCGTGTTGTTCAGCATGCTATCTGACGTTTCAGTTCCTGAAGGAGCTGCCAGCACTTTTAACGAAACGTCGGCCAGCATGCGAGGCTTGTGTTCGGCACAAAGTAACGGGGGTTTGAAGTCCACCGTTGTCCCACATGTATCACACTCAGGGCCTGTTTCATTTTTTGGTGAAAAGGCAGCTTCTGACAATTTTTTTTTTACAAAATCCTAACTTTTATTTTCTGCCGATTTGGCTGTTTTTACACCGGGGGGGGGAGGGGGGCGGGGCAGGGAGAATAAAAAGTAATGGGTCTGCTTTTTCACCAACACATGAATCACGACTCAAGCGCCCAGCGGTCATGCACAGTTCACCGCAATTACCCGACTGGCCGCCGCAAATTGTCCCATTGATGGACTGGAAGGCACAGCTGGCGAGATACACGCACCTGGATCTCACGTGTTCCCGTGAACATCTCCCGGAGGCTGGAGAAAACCAGTTTGGTCAGATAGGCAGAGGCGTCCCACACGTACTCCTAGAGGGGGGCGGGGGGGGAGGTGAGAGGAGGGGGGGGATTCACGTTTGTTTGGGGTGAGGTCAGCGAGGCAGCGGGGAGTAGACAAGAGAGAAAGACGGTGCAGCCACACCATCAATCACAGAGCCACTCTCATTATACCTGCAGCCATATACATGCTATTGCTTTCTATCTATAGTTCAACGTTTTGGCTATGAGCTTGGCAGCCCGTTCGTTCCTTGCAACAGGCAATGTAGCGACACTCAAAAAGGTGACGGGGGCTTTTTTTTTTTGGTCGTGGCGGGGGAAGGTGGTTTTCTGTGCGTTTTTTGGCACAACATAAATCTTCGAATGGCATATTTATGGGCTACATTTCACATGGAACAGTGGCCTTTGAAACGAAATAAACCTGTACAACAAAAAAAACACGAAAAAACTTGCCGTAAATGTAACTGACAGTACGACGAGAGTAATACCTTGCAAGAAATATAACAAATTGAAATGTAATCAATGGCTACTATTTAATTACACTTTTATAATAAACTACGCGTACATTTTTAATCCAATAATTTTCTGAATTCTGGCCAGACTGCTCGAGAATTACAAAAGAAGGGCAATGAACTCGTTTTTTTTTTTTTTCCCACCGACTTGATGTAAAATATCTGTGACCTCTTTAGCTTCACGGTTCACCTGTCAAATTCCACTGCACTGCAGTTGCTGGTGGTTTAAACTTCAGTTCATGACTGAGCTTGTACGAATTGCAGGCAATGGCCACTGTGTGAAACTTTAAGAAGCAGACAAATGTGTGCACACTAGTGTGTGTACTTCACCCGCCTTCCCACGACGATTTGCAGACTAAAAACAGCAAGTGCACAAAGCTACGAATTTTTGCAATCATCTCCGAGAGTAATTTTGTCTCAAGAAGGGAGCGGTAAATGCATCCCAGGTTTAATTAGCTGGCACGTCTCCGAAGTTTTTGTTGTTGCTGTGGTCAAGAGAATGACAGCTATGAACACAGTTACTGCAACGCCTGCAAAACCCTGCACTAAAATAACCCAAAAAATGTTTCACTGCAAACAAAAAACCTTTCAAACAAATGCAAACGCTTCATACGAATTACTGAAGAAAAACAGATATTGCTTTAAGACCAGACGGTGAAAATTATCGTATCATATAATCATACGCCAGACTTATTGTTTTATCGTCATTTTCTAAAAAGGTACAAATATTTCAATTCAAAGGACCTGTATGCTCATTAAAGAATCACGCCTGCACATTAAAAATCAAGATGACGGAGTTGTTTTTTCTCTCCTCTCCCTCCTTTCAATAAAAGCGTCATAAGGCCGAAGCCACCTGCCTCTGACGGGCGACGGCACACCGGCGTGTGCTTGCACTGATCCCCCTGAGATTCCCGCACGTATGAGGTTCTTTGCGGTCATCTCAGCCACAAGAACTGGCATAATCGCTGTATATTTTTTAAAGCATCGTGGCACGTTTCTGCCACGTGGAAAAAAAATTGCGAGTGCAATATTCATGCTGCCTTGCTTTGTCGAAACAGCACCGGGCCCACACATCGTGCCAGGACAAGCATTATGCAACAACTTTGCCGCGACATTCTACGTAATAACGACGCCCAAAATAAAATCAAGCAAATGGCCTCATTTTCATACTGCTGCAAATATGACATAGCACCTCATTTAAGCTACGCTGCACAGGGACAGCATCTGGCGGCAAGGATGCTCTGTAGTCATTATGAGATGTTTTTCATAATGAAAATATAATTTGTTCATGACCAGATTTGCAGTCGTGGGGAGAAAAAAAGATTTACTATAATTAAATCGGGTATTTAACCATGGATAAAAATGCTGCTTAATGACAGGAGAATTGTTTCGTATTACTAGATGCTAGTGGTTTATGGACATCGCTTGCCATTACTAAATTGTGCATTGTGTACAAATGTAAATACCTGCTCCATAAAGTATGTCCCTGTGTGCACACATACATACACTGGGCACCTTACAGGTTTTGTGAAGCAGACAATGGTAAGACACTGGCGTGACATTGTAATATTTTGAAAGTTCAAGTGGATTGATGTTGCCGGTTATTACATTGAAAAATGAAGCAATAAGGGTATGTGCATGCGTGTGTCTGTGCGTCTGTACGTGTGTTTAAAATTCGGTTCTTAAACTCTTTCGTTCAGCTCTTTTCTGTACAAGTACAGCGATGTAAATTAACATTAAACATCACCCAACAAAGTACACAAGTCCATTAATCAGTACGAATATTGCCAGTTAAAAACACGGTTAAGTATTTTTTTTTTTGGGGGGGGGGGGGTTATCTCAAAACTAAATTCCCAGATTCGCCGGTTGACATCGGGACGATGATAATTTACCTCTGGCAGGTATCTGGCAAGATAACAAAAATGTAAGAGTAATAAAACCATTTCCTGAAAGCAAAAAAAAACACGCAGTGACAAAAGGTGAATCCCAAAGAGCGTAACGCACAAACTGCATGGGAATTCATGCTGCTGGATATGAGCATGCGACAAAGGGAACCGCTTGGAATGTTTCTAAAAGCTTCTCTTTTTTTTTGCCAGCACAATAACGCTTGAGGAAGCAACGTTTAGATTTCCTACGGCAGCAATTTCATTAATCGGCGCATCCCACTTGATTTTTTTTAAATATTGAGGATGCTGGACGCATACTAAAGGTTCAATCTATGTAAGTGGATGTTCGTGATCGCTCCATCACCATCAGTTCGCAACAAAACCCCCGGGTCACCTTACGGAATGCTGCCGATCTGTTAGTGGAGATCGGGCCAATCTCGGGGCGTTTCCGTGGGAGCCTGCGATGGATGGATGGTGGTGCCGAGGAGAGGGTTGGGGTGGTACGATGGAATCGTTTGAGGAAGATTTCCCGCCCCCCCCCACCCCCCGTTTTAAACCAGCACCAATTTCTGAGAAAACCTTAACTCCCACTTATGTGTAATTCATTGATTTCTCGTGCCACTTTGTGAAAAGTTGAATTAAAGTAGCACTCGGGAATTGATTTTTTTCCATTAAACTTAAGGCGACTTTTAGGGTTACATTTACGCACGCACAAAAACAACAACATTTTCGCACAGTATATTGGCTTAATTGTAGTTTCGCAGCCGAGGGCATCACTGAGACACGCGTGTCTTTATGTTACCAAGACGAAGACTGTAATATCTCTTGTGCATTGCTGCTTACAAAGCACTCTCTCTAACGCAACACTACGTTGGCATTTGTAAATGATGGATAAATAAGAAAAATTAAACATATTGGTCAATATCATAAAATGAAAGAAAACACATAATAGGCAGCGTTTTGGGCAATGATCCACGTTATTGACGGCCGTGTTGGGTTTGTTTTTCTTTACATACACTAACGAATGTGGCTTATTTGATTGTGATTGTTGGGTACAAAACAATAAAAACAATATTTCGTTATTTCATATGATTTACGCGTATAAAATTGAATGTGATAAACATCTCCGGTCCAAGGTTATATGAAGGTTATATAATTTGTAACCCCTTCTAATCCGTCGTTTATCGCTCGCCGTCATCTCTGTATTCTTTCAGATTTTTTTTGGGTGGAGGGGGGGGGGTTTAAGACCCCTTGGTTACTCCACGTGATAAACGCAAATGCAATTTTGAATTGCAATGTTTGGTAGGGGAGTATTTTCCTATCTTTTTTGCCCGTAAGTCAAAAGAGTCCATTATGAACTCAAAAGGCCCTCGATACAATCATTCCGACAAGCAGGTACATCCACACGAAGGACAGCCTGAAAACAAGAGAAAAAGCTCCCATACAAATTAGCCTAATGGCCATCAGTGACAAAACTCGATATGATCAATGGTAAGCACATTTGAATACATTTTACCCCCTACACAAAATCTAATATTGCTAACCTCCTGCAGTGGCGGAGGTTACGCTGAAGGTTAAATGCAAGTATTATTGGCAGCAGGACGCCAGCTAAAAATAAGCAGCGTTTTTTAAGGGACGTTTTCAATTGACGGTGCAATCAAAAGTTATTTTCAGTAAATGAACAGGCCATTCCCCAGGCCTGAGTGCTTAATAGTATAAAAATGTGATGCACACTTATTTCCTATTTTTAAAAAAACCTTAAATAGAATTTCGTGGCATAATTTGCCATTATGCAATTAATGTGGCACGTGAGTAACAAACAACATTGTTAATGTGTTAAAGCATTTCTCATTAATTTCTTCACCAGATAAAAAATACACACGGCATATATTTAAATCAAGGACATAATAAATGTAACGTATTTGAAATCTTGATTTAAAGCTTTCGTGACTGCAGTAATTCATATTCTTAGTTTTTTTCGGTAAAGTCACGTTGAAGAGAAACAACAAAATAATAAAATATATATAAAACAATAAAAAAATTCTCACGACGTTTCGACCATAACTCAATTGGTCGTCTTGAGGTGTTTGAGTTATGGTCGAAACGTCGTGAGAATTTTTTTATTGTTTTATATATATTTTATTATTTTGTTGTTTCTCTTCAACGTGACTTTACCGAAAAAACTAGGAATATGTATTTGAAATCTGTTGAGCCGAGTCTCAAAACGGTGTTAGACCAGAGGACGCAAAAACGTTTTGAGACGAGGCTCAAAAGAAAGCTGTCTCTGGTGTGGACCAATCAGTTTCAAAGACAATGCATATATTATCAGAGTATGTTTTTTGTTTTGATTCTGACCACAAGTATTGTGGTTAATGCAGATATGATTCCTTGTAAAAGGTTTCAGTTTGGTGTTTTAACATCTTAACACCTATATTCTTGGTTCTTTCGGTAAAGTCATGGAGAAGGGAAGCAATAAAATAATAAAAATATAAAACAATAAAATTCGCACGACGTTTCAGGTGATGATGATTGCTTGTGTTGCAGTCGAAACGTCGTGAGAATTTTATTGTTTTATATTTTTATTATTTTATTGTTTCCCTTCTACGTGACTTTACCGAAAGAACCAAGAATATGAATCCCTGCAGTCACGAAAGCTTTAAATGAAAATCTTAACACCTGTTTTGCTGCCAGAAAAAAAGTGGAAAACCTATTCTCATATTTTGGTACTGGCAAAGGAGGTCCCATTATGTATTTGAAATCGCTGTCGGCAAGCATCCCAATCTTTTCCCATTACAAACGCAATCAAGAACACTAAAAAATATATTGTCCCGAGGAAAAAACAAAGTTCACGCCAGCAAAGCAATTTATCGCTGAAAATCTTTGGTTCTTGCACTATACCCACGTATCCACAAATCAACACAAAACCTGGCAGTCCCACTTTACTTTCCCATTTTTTTTGCAGCAAAACAGTTGCACATATCTAGAGAGGGAGGCCCAATTGCTTTGTGAATTTCTGCAAAGGCCAAAGCTATCAGAGATCGAGTCGTGCTGGCAAACTCAAGCTTCAGACTAAATCGCAGAGGGCACGTCATTGCGCAACTAGCACAAGACCCCAGGGGATTCTGCATGGAGGGCCCGGGAACAAATTGCCACGAGCACAAACAGAAGGCTTTGGCTGGCAGCGGAGCCGCAGGTGGTGGTGCTGCACCTTGGGGAAGTCGTCCATCTCGCTGAGGCGCTTCTCGATCTGCTGTCGTCCTCCGTAACGCGTCACGCCGTACACCACCGTCATCACCGTCTGCTTGACCAACTTGCGGCCGATGAAGCCCCCGAGCACCTGGGCGATCTTCACGTCGTTCTTGGCGTCCTCAGCACGGAACACATCAACCTGAGAACGGCAGCGGCCATCGGAGAGATTTGTCGCAGAGCTGCGAGGCGAAGGGTGGCGAGGAGGAGGGGCGGCATGGAACCGTGACATCGTCAAGGGACACTTGCCAAAACCCTACACTTTGTCCGTGAAACACGCTCGCCCGCACTCTGTCAGCCTCAAGCCTTGAATAAGAAAAAGATTCATTAAATATTGCTCGACTGGAATGCTTAAGATGGACATGAATATAATATGATTGGAATTAGGTCTGCTGATACATGCACAGAGCTCCCTAAGGTGACGTTTTCAGTTTAAATTGCAGCCGGTTGGCATGGCCCATCTTCCCTCTGGGTCGGTAATGTAAGGGGGCAAACGGTGCGGGTGAACCACATGGTGGGAAATAAATGGTGGTTGCCCTATGACGGACAAATGCAAAAAATTGTTGGATTTCCACAACTCGTGCCAGATCTACCAACCAAGGTGAGCACCAACCAGCACTTGCTGTTTGGGGACACTGAAATCTAACAGAATAAACTATCTGCACAAGTAAACAAAAACATACACAAACACAACATCGCGTAACGCTTTGGAGAAATTAAAACCGACAAGCTTTTCTTCACCAAAAACATGATTTATAGCAAGGTGCCGAGTGCTAGGATACCACAATTATCTAGACAAACGAGAGCATTAGGCCATATCACGTGTAGCACGGAATTCGCTTTCTTTCTGCGTTTTAATTCACTTGGGTTCCCCCCCCCTCCCCCCCCCCCCCCCACTTTCCCCATCAAAAATAGCCATCAGAAATAGCCCGGCGCGGCACAGGAAGCGGCAAAGCGGAGGCAACGGGGACCGGTCGCAGTGCCGGCGGCAGCACCTGCTGCGCGACGCTCGCATACACGTCCTGGGGCATGTCCAGCGGCTTCAAGTTGACGGATGCGGCGCCAATCGTATCGCGTCCCAGGGCGGCGTAGTGCTGCAGCCCATTGCAAGACCCGTCCTGCGCGTCAACAGAAGCAGCAGCAGCGGCAGCGGGTCACAGCAACAGGATCAGCATCAGCAACGGCAGAAGCGGCAGCAGCAACAATTCGCCACTAAGTTACGGGGCCATCACCGTGGTGCCCGTGCCACACTAGGCGAACTCTTGATTCCACGTTGGGTGGCGAAGGTTGGCTGACGAGATCACGTGCCGGACGCGAGTGTTAAAGGTTAACAGACGAGGCTGACTGGCAGATGCACCAACTGCATTCCTCGCAAAATGTCAGCTTGTGTTTTAGCCACCTGACTCAATACCCCGGTGCACCGAGCTTTGTTCCTCCGCCTCCCCTTGTCCCTCGAGGCCAGCTGTCTCTATCGGCCTGGCAGAAGCATTCACAAGCCTCCTTTGCACAGACCGATTCGGCAAGCCCTTCGGTGTGATTTTGGGTCATACCGCGCGCTGACGGGCGCGATGTTTGACGTTTCGCTCCACGTGCTGGAAGCTTCTTCAGGAAATGAACAGGGCGACACCTCGGACATCGTGCAGAACAACACCCGGTACAAGCGTCAAGCACAACTGCAAAAAATCTATGCAGTGATTCTTCTTTGATTTGTACCGGTCCTGAGGTTGTACCAGTCCTCCTGGACAACTTCAGTCAACCCTCTCACTAGCCTTTGCTGCGTCCAATCATAATGCATATATGCGTCCAAATAAAAGCTGCTTGGTCACGCAGGGCTGTTAATCACACGTGCCGGACAGACTCACTGAAGGGACTTTGCCCTGATCACTCTAGCACAGGGGTCGGCAACCAAAATAACAAGAAGAGACATTTTTGTTCGATTTCGGTAAAAAAAACTCAATAATTCAAGAGTCACAATGCACGTGAATAGGAGAGGGTCCTTAATAAATAACGTCCTTAAAGAGCCGCATTTAGCTCCGGAGCCACGGGTTGGCGAGCCCTGGGCTAGCATCTGTGAGATTTGGCGTGTATGCATTCATAAAGAAAATAAGTATAAATAAAACACCTACATTGCAATTGATTTGTTAATGATAACCTACAAATGTGCAATGCATAACCACCTAATGCAATAAGAGAAATATTCTGCAAACCTCACTTTATCAAAATCTGATCAGGTGCTTCAGTGGCAGAGCAAGAAGCTCAGAGACTGAAGATGGTTGGGAGGGGTTCGACAAACCCCATCATCCCTCCCGGGTCTGTGAAATGAGTTCCACTTTTTTGGCCAAGTCAGCAGCGGTTACCCTACGCACAGACTCACCCTCGCCGTCGGGATGCGGAATTTCAAGCACCAACTCAATGCTCATTTGCGCAGGAAGTCAAACCATTTTAACTTTTTTTTGTTTCAGTCTTAATTGGCCTGGCTTAAAAGTCACGACATCAGTGATGACGACCAGCTGTGATAACTTCCGCAGTGCGCACAGGGACGCAATGGTATCACAATGTTTAGGATTACACAATGCAAAGCATTAAGTAACACATTGCAAGCAATAAGAAAGAAACATTATATATTTATGCCACAGTGAGACAAATACCATATCGTTAAACAAAAACAAAAAAAGTACCGCGGTCATTATAATGCAATTTTAATGCGTCTCGATTTATCGCACATAACATTGTTCAGTAAAGACTCGGGTGTGCAAATTCACCCCACTGAATATGCAAAATCACCATCAGTTACCGCCGCCGCCAGCGCGTGCACTTCGAGCTCAATTTCAGCCTCCTCATGAAGAACCGGGCCTTGGCTGCTTATACGAAGCGCCGAGAAGTGCCACTTGCTGCCTTATCCCAACACTCTGCAACGCACAACCGTTAAAATTAAAAAGTCCAGTCGTGCCTCTGCTCATCTTCCAACATAGGTCGAAATGCGAGCAATCATCAGCCATGCTCTATTCACTGCTGGACTAGCGATCCTCCGCCTCCCGCACACCCCAGCACCTACCCAAGTTGTCGTCATCTCTCACGGTCAAGTGATGCAACGTGATCCATCTAGCTCCTGCTCAAGCGGAGGTCTCATCGCTGCATCTCCCCTGTTGACGTCGACCGGGGCCGGTTCCCTGCTTTGAACGATTATCACCCTTAGGCATGTAACGACGCATTGGTTTATTGATTTAAATCTCTTCCAATGCTCACGAAACACGCATCGAATTGGGTGTGAGAATAAATATTCTTTACATATTTATTTGCAGTATGTAATGGGCTCACGTGATCACCGCAGCCACTCGAGGTGCTGCATTCACCAAAGTGCTAGGAGGAAGAATAGATTAATTAATTGTCTTAAAACTCGAAATCGTGACAATTCCCCGCATCATGAGGTGGCTGATGGGGGGGGGGGGCATGGTTGAGTCTTTAAATGCCTTCTTGCTCTGAACTGCAAATTGTACTGTACGCCTCGCAGCAAGTGGAGCTGTCTTTGATGAGACGTTTGACAAAACTGATGATCATTGCTGCTGCTGATTTGACGATTTTTGCCGCTGCCGCTGCCGATAATGACAACGCTGAAGACCACGGTGACGATGACGAGAAAGATAATAAGCACAATGACGGTTGGGATATTGTCGATAATGACAAGGATGCTGACGCCGATGATGACAGTGATCATAATAAAGACGGTCACAACGATGATAATGGTGACAATGACGACGAAGAAGACAAAGATGATTAGAACGATGCCCGTGACGTGAATAGCGATCATGATGACCACTGTGACAATGACAAAGGAGATGACGACCGTCGACGACGATGGAAACGACGATGAAAACGATGACGATAACGACGATGGCGACATCATCACCTTACCTGGTGGGTAGGAAAGTGTGAGATGTACTCCTTGGGATCCGGGGAGCGGACAGCTCTGGCAATCTCCATGCAGCAGGCCAGCACCTGCCACGGCTCGTCTGCCTCCATCCACCACTGGCGGCCCTGGGAAGGCATTCATTCATTCATCACGCGTAGTCACCGAAGGAGCCGTTGTGCCAAACGTGTAATCCCCTGTGACAGCATTCGCATAAACTGCTCTTGCTGCCGTACACCAGCGTCTCGAGTGATTTGTTTGATCCACGGGGGGTGCGACCACGGGGTACGGCGCCATTCCTTTGAGGGTCGCAGTTCTCACTTCCAACGTCGACCACCATGCCGAAGAGAGCAAATTTTTTTTACTGAAGATGGGCGACGTGTCCAAAAAAGTGACTTGGACTGTTCCCCTCGAACTAAACTCTCGACCGCTAGAAGATCGGTCGCAGACGCAACGGTGACATTTCTGACAGAGTCGAACCATCGGATGCCAAGACAGCGTCCTTTGGCGTCGTATGTGGAAGGACTGCAGCCAATCCAAATCAGCTTCAGGCAATGTCCAGGCATCCGCATCGGATAACAACAGAACTGACAAAACACAGTTGCCGGCAAGACTCTCAATTTTGTGCCATCACTGTCGGCAGAGCGCGACGGGAGGACGTGGGGCAACGCCGAGTCACCCGCGGTACGTCCGGAGGGAGCCCTGCACCATCGTCGTGAAGGGACCGAGCGCTCAACAATGAATGAGATTCACTCTTTACGGGCCAGAGGAGTTGTTGGATATCACTTTGTTTTTCGTGCGCATTAATCTTGCTGCTACCCCATCCCGCTCTGCCCCAGTCCCCAAAAAAAACATCTAATTACGTTATTATTTGCGAAAGCAACATATGATTGCGTCGTTATTCAATATTTCACTGGCGTAGGTGTACGTTATAATTTTTCATAATGGCTTTACCTAATTGTTGAGTGATCGCTAATTAATTGAACAAATGTACATAATAACCGTGGCTTTTTAAATTGTTTTAATTGACATACCCCCCACCAACCTCCGCCTCGCACAACAATGGTTAAACATGTTCGTAAGTATTGAGGCCATAATCCACAAACAATGCTGGCCCTCTGTAAATACAAGCATGTTATTTATTTGTTCACTGCTGATTTATTTAGCATGTGGTTCACAGGTGAAGCCAACAAAAAATGTTTGTCAACTGTGATACACAAAGATCCCCGTGTAGTCTTTAACATACTCTTAGGGCAAGTGCTTTTTGCGAAAAACCTATGAAGGCCAGCAAGGCGCACGAGGGGGTGGTAGAACCAACACCACGCCAGGCCGCCTTTGTCTGCCAATGCTGACGTTTACACACCACACCAGGTACTCAGCTAAGGTTGAGTCACACAGACAAACACAAACCACGCAATGGTCACACTTGCCATTAGAGAATATACGTCAATGCTTGGGATAGTAAACATTCAATGCATATGCCACATGTGTGGTTCAAAAGGCCAAAAAAAGGTTGGGCCGATGTGAGAACACAGACAAGGCTTGTAAAGTACATCGCGATGACACAGCATACCATACACGGATAAGCTAAATGTCCAGAACACAGAGATGTGAAATGTTGTTGTTAGGAAATAAAATGTCAAACGCTTCACGTTCTGCTGAATTAGATGGAATTTTGTTTTACCAACTTAACGTTTTGAAGACTGCGCAAAATATATTTCATTCCTGTTAGAGAGTCCAATTTTTCACAAGAGACTATTTGTGCTTTCCCAGAGGCAGGTCCTTGGATTATGCCAGTTGACTTTAGTTTAAATTCAATTTTAAAGCAGATTTTTGTTTTATACGCTGAATATATATCCTTCAACTTTGCTTCGACAGCTCACCCACGCTGCAGGGCGTTCCGTCATACAAACCAATCTCCGTTTTTTTTTTTATCCCTGCTTGTGTTTAAAAAAATGTGTCAAATATAATTGTTACCTATTCAAAATATGTTTAGATTGGCTTGATTTGCCTTTATTTTAACTGTTGCTATCACAGAGAATACCTAAGAGACTGGGTTTATTTTCATCAACATTACTGTCACACAAGAAAAAAACTCACCAAGAGCACCTTGTACAAGTGTTAAGAACCCTTTAAAATGGAGCTCAATATGGCCTACAAAGTGGGAGTCAGTTTACATCCAGGTTCTGAAGCCAAACTGTGACTTGTGAGTGTTAGATTTTTTTTAAATTGGGTTACTGCAGAATATCACAACCTCACAATTATAAAACAAAAGTGAAAACGAAGCGGTTCCAACTTTTGGGGCTCTGAGCTTCATATCCTCAATTGCCACTTTTCTCAACACTAACAAATCACGACCCTGCACTGCAGTGAAAACCAGTTGGTAAAAAAAACCCTGACCTCAACCCACTGCAAAAAAAGTTCCCACAAATGAGTGGAACAAAAAAAAACCACATGGATCCAACCTCCAAAACCGAGACTCTAGTTTTTATTTATGTTATCAATAATAAAAAAAACACACACAAAGATACATCGACTCAGACAGTCCGAACAAGGAATGCTAAACAGTTATTGTGAAGCGCTTTGCCTGGTAGGTGCTGGCACCGAGTGATTTAATTAGAGTCAGATGCGATTGCTACACACGACTCTCCTTCCAGGACCCTGCCAGCCGTTAATCTCACGTTTGCTCCAGTCCCCCCACCCCTCTGCCAGAAGCTTGCCAATTACCGGCACTCTCTGCCCATCCGCAGGCCCGGGGCACGGCATAGTCTCCCGCTGCCCTTCGCGCCCCCCACCACCACCGCTGCCAACTCCCTTCACCGCACTGTCAACACCGAAGCGCACCGCAAGACCATCGCTCCTCGTCCACCATTGACTGCAAGAACCTTTCTTTGTATCTGTGCTGCACGCTTGCGCGCTCTTCCTCTGACATTTTTGCTCGGTATTTTGTAAACGCTGATGCCTATGTATGCACTGTTACCAAGATGAAACAGTCACCGTCGTCATCATCAGCCACGACCAATCAACTTCTGCTTGAAGGCCTCCCCGAGGCATCGACATCTATCACGAGCCTGCGACGTGATTATCCACTTGGCACCTGCACAGGAGTTGATTTCACCGCCCCAAATCTCACCGATGACCTCCCTGTCATTATTCAAGACAGAACTTTCTGGAGACAGAATTGAAAGCAATAAACTGGGACAATGCTGGTATCGGCGAGGTCAGGAGGGGAGAAACTCCACACTTCTGGCAGAGGATTGAACAAGAATGAAACAGGAATGGCACAGATGCTGCAAAAACGCTGGGAATTTTTTTTTCTATTTTCAACACAACGTGCAGATGACAAAAGGCAGTAAAGTATGGCCAAAGGGAGCAAGCGTCTAGCTTTAAAAGGGCAGACTGCTGTGCCCTTCTATTAATCTTTTCTTTGTCCCAGCGCAACGGTGGAAGGCACCCAAAAGTTGGGATTTGAGAGCACTTTGCAGTTAAATGAGGAAGCATCCATTTGGTTATTTGTAGCCCGGGTCACGTAATGGAATAACTCATATACGAATTGTAATTCGCCATCAATATCTATTAGCGGAACTATTTTTAGAAACTAAGAGCCAGGCTGTATGTGGGGAATTATCAGGTGTCAGTTTGACCATGGCTCAGCGGAAACCGTGACTGCAAACAACAACGCGCGGTAAACAACACACGGTGAAAACCGAATGAGCTGAAAGACACAAGTCCTAAACATCAGCCTCAACCTTGTAGGCCAGCGGCCAGCTGCATAAACACCTTAGGTGGAAATCTCCCTTCAATGATGCCGGCCCGCAGGCAATTTTCAACTCGAGTTGTTTCATGCAACTCATGCCAGGGGTATGGAGCCTTTTTTTTTCCTTTACCGAGGGCCAAATATGACTTTCAAATACCTTTTGGTGGGCGAGCACACATCAGTACACAGATCAGCATCACCCAAATATAATAATGTGAAAAAGAACTTGGTCTCATCTTAACACGCTAACACGAAGCCTGCATCTGCTTTCCTCTGACGTTGTTGATAATTATATTAGGTCGCAGTTCCGAAGTAAACATGCAGCTAAGATTCTTGCAGCGATGGCTAAATATCATTTGAAAGTCTCATGTGGCAACGGGCCACATAAAATGGACTCATGGGCTTCATCTCATACCAGAGGCATCGCACCCCCGTTGGAGAGAAAAGCCGGGACCGCGTGTTCGATTTTGTCTAACCTAAATTTTAAGCTTTGCTTTAAAAAAAAAAAACCTCTTAGGTCACGTCGTACACTTCTGTACGGTACTCTATACAACACCACCAATGACACGCTGTATATTTTATTACATGGATGCAGTGACATCACTCAAGAGTCCGTTTTATCATTAGGGAAGCTTTAAACTCAGGCGGGACAGCCACAGTGCCGTGACGTGTATAGTCTACTAGGGGAGAGCTGCTTGCTCTTTGGTTGCATCATCCTTTAATGAGGAAGTCAAGCAGATCTGACGCCGTCTCATTAATGCAGCCTGACGCCATAATCACCATTATCGGTCATTGTCAATCCAATGTTCATGAAGGCCTACTCACGTACGAAGCCTTCATACAGCACAAAAGCCCATTTTCACCTTAGTTTCGTGCAATGTTTTTGACCAAAACATTTCATGAAAAGAGCCTCCTTGTGGTGGATAATAGTTTTACAACAATTGAGAGGTGAATTTGTTTCCATCAGTCCTCATGAGTGATTAGCTCGAAAGGTCTCTATTTATTTCATGAAAAAAATGTTTCTACTGATACAGACACCAGAACTATTGTACTTCTACAGTGCCTTTTAGTCATTTTACTTCACGTCCTCCCCCCAAGCCGTGCGGGTTGTGGAGATTATTTGACCATACTTCACCACGCTGGTTTTGCCGACGGTAGCGGATCGAATAAACGTTCATTAAACAGACTAAACATTTACGTGAAAGAGAAAGAAAGCCCAAAACCTGGCACCACACAAATAAAATTTGCATTTTCCCAAAAACCGCAATTCATGAGGCACGTGGATGCTCGTGTGCGAGCGCGACCGTGAAATAAGGCGGAGACTGTACGAGGATTGCTGGAGATGCAACACAGGACGTGGGGCACCATGGC